GAGAACAAATGCAAAAACCATATCAAAAGGTTTCGGCGTAAAGCGTGAACTATCAGTTGTCCAGACTTGGCACTTTGCCGTACTGCGGTGTAGCATTTATCACTCAGATAAAATGCCCATAGTCTTTCGAAGATCAATAGGTCTTGGTGCACGCACCGCACGTGCTGGTAATGCATTTTAGTACAACCAGATCCCAAGAGCATAAAAGTACACGCTACAGTCCAAATGGAAGTGTTGTGTATTAGTTTTAGGTCTTGACTTCTGCATCGCTTGTGAGGAGGTAGGGCAACCAATGGGTTGCACATGATTACTCTGTCTGTATCCAGTATGTGCGAATAAAATCCTAGCGTTGCCATTAGCCTTCTGAGGAGAGCAGATCGATAGAGGGAAAGCGCAGTTGGTTATCGAGACGATATACTCCATATGTTGCATTGTTACCTCTTCCGTGGGGCTGCTCCAAAAGACACATGTCTGGTTTTAACCATGGGCTCTTAGGTTGAAGCGCCCACTCCAACTGGCGAAGAGTATACAAGTTTTTCAACATAGGCTATCAGGTGTTTTTCAAAGGAACTGAGAGTTTCCACTCAGAAATTGTAATGGAGTAATTTGTCACTTTTACTGCTCTCGCGCATTGAAGGAAAGCTTTTAGACCTTGTTGAACGATTATAGCCAACTCTCTTTCACTAGTTACGGGCTACGGAAACTGTATCTACCCCAAATAGAATGCGCGGGCTGTAGTCCGTTACGTATCGCTTACAGATGGCATTTTTAAGGGTTCAGGGCGAGCCGTCATATTTCCGCCCTTTCATTAATCCGACACAGATAATTCTGAAGATAGGCGTAAGTCAGAGTTTGAGGGCGAATAGTTCTCAAAATCTTGACATCGTCGCGCAAGGTATCTGCACTGGGAATTAGATATATTCCTACTGGTTGTTGGCGCAAATCAAAACACTAACGGCCAAGGACAGACCAATGCAGCACACAGCTGGAAATACACAGGGCTCTCGAGTGCGCCGGTAATACTTGCTATGATTGGTTCTCTCATGTAGGTTACTTCCAGCCACATGGGAAAGGGGCCAGTGATCCGTAGAGCCACAAAGCAATGGGGCAAATAACTGATTGATAGACACAGGTCAAATGCATTGGAAAAAATCTAAGAAGATCAAATCTAAGCGACCATCGTCCTGCCACCCTAGTATGTGCCACGAGCCAAAAGCAGAGTAGAGAAACAAGACCATCTGCGGATGCAACCATATTAAAGATAGGAGATGGTTTGCATACTTTCAAGATAGCGTATCAATTCGTCCGAAATTATTGACCTCTTAACTTTCGATTTAACAGGGAGTAGGAGCAAGAGCCGATAATTCGCATGAACCGATTGCATTGAATTTTGATTAAAAGAGTAATGCTCACATTTGCTACTTAGGTGAGAGTGTGAATAATGAATGTTGACAACAAAAAATATCGCAGGACGTACTTCAGACATGCAAACAAGGGTTTTTCCGAATACATATATTTTTGTATATATATACATATATACATATATATAAGTATATATATATAAGTGTATATACATATATATATAAGTACATATATATATGTGTATATATATATGGTTGGCAGCATCTGGTTTCGGATTCGCCTGTCCCAGTGGCCAGTCAATGCACGCCTGCTCCCAAAGAGGGATCATGGGTGGCTTGCACTGCACCACCCACAGCTCCAACCACACACCCCAATATCCAGTGTAAACCCGAAGGAATAAGGCCGGGAGGCATGTGGATGGGAGCTAGGGTTCATCAATGGAGTCGGCCAACACTCCTTCACAGGCAAACACAAGCACACTCTATTTGGGGAATCAAGCGCACACAAGGCGGTGGCTGGACCGTAGTCCGCTTCACACTGAGTGCATGGAACCACACTTCGAGTATAGCACGGCCACAAGGACCATGCATCCCGTCCCCATCAGCAACGACCAACTGTCTCCTGGAGGCCAGTATGGACGAAGTAGTGGGTAATAGAGAGGTAGGCACCCTGTCAACATGCACATCAAGCACAGCCACATTTGCGATGTCAAACAATAGCAAATTACTTGAAACTCGGATATCAAATAAAATAAATCGAATAATGCATACAGGTAAGGTGACGCAACTCTTCACTAAATGAGCGTGTGAAATAAATGGGTTGCAAAAATCTGCGAAAGGTTCAATACGTCAAAACTTTTTAAGAAAGTGCTACAAACGCGAAAATGTTTATCGAATTTAACTGATTAAGCGACGTGTGTAAGTTTGTAGAAGATAGTTCAGGTAGACACATAATGTTAGAGAAAAAAGCCGTAGGACAATATAGCAAATGCATTACCTGAAATAGCGATTCAGCATGCAATCACTCGGTTAGTAAATCGAATGCAGCGTACTTACAAACACCGCGCAGGTTCTGCGTACGTTCGCTGCAGGACTTGTCGTCGCTTCGGCGTTGGCTCCGAGTGGCCTCGCTCTTGGCTCACTAGGCTTGCCTGACTCAGGCCTTAGCGACAGCATGTGCTACAGCCATATGCGCTCGCTGTCGACAGAGTACAACCCGTCGCCGCCTGTCGTTTCCGCAATTGCCGTTTCTTCTCCGCATGCATGAGTTCTTTCTCCCCCACCTCGGCAACTTGCCTTCGTGATCAGATCGAATCATGCACGCCGATGAACCGGCTTCAATGTCCATGCCGTGCAATCACGACTAGAACTTGAGAGGCTCACTTTGATCATGCCCTGGGAACGAAGCTGCTGGTCAGTCGACACCATACACCCATGGTAGCAGAAGTGAAGGGTGGTTTCCAATACGTCATCACCAATGTTGCCTCGAGACATCATTATAGATTACACCTCCGATAAAGGTTTAAAGAGATAGACAGTTTTGCTTGTGTTGATGGTGAGACCGAATCTGGCCGCTGTCGAAGTCAGAGTGCTAGTCATGTGCTGTAACTCATCCTCGCTGTGTGCAAACAATGCACAGTCGTCATCAAACAGCAACATACGGATAGTATTCTCACCGATTAGGGTTCTCGCACCGAAACGACGGATGTTCAGCAACCCACCATCAATACGGTGCTCCACACGAACACCGTAAGCACAAGCCGCATCAAAAGCACAAGACATCATTACATGAGGATAAACATTAAACAGGGCAGTAGCTATGACACAGCCTTGCTTCACACCAGTGACAACTGCAAAGTCATCCGAGGTCTCTCCACTCAGCTGCACCCTCGTCCGCATGCCAATGTGCAGACATTAGAATAAACGCACCAATTTACTCGGACAACCAAACTTTCCTAACACCAGTCACAATGCCTTGCAATTTACCGTATCTAATGCAATGGTGAAGTCAACAAACACCGAGTACAATGATTGGCGTCATTCTCTGTACTTCTCCTACAACTGATGAGCCGCAAGCATCATATCTATAGTGCTGCGACCCGAACGGAATCCACACTGCTCTTCTGCTGCGTTAGGTTCCACAACCTGCCTGACGAGGCGGTTGAGCAGGATTCAGGCATCCACGTTGTCACACAACTAAACACGTTGATGCCACGATAATTCATGCAGCATTGTTTGCTCCTTTTGCCCCCGCACAGTGGTAGCACAATTGCATCCTTCAGCTCAGGAGGCAGCTCCTCCTCAATCCACGCGCATTGCGTCAAGTGGTGCAGCGCAATCACCAGCGCGGGTCCGTCGTGTTTCATTACTTCAGGCGGGATCCCGTCGGCCCGGCACACTAGCTGTTTCACAGCTGAGCAAGTGCTCTCTACGTCTCATCCAGTGTCGGCATATCCGCCAGGCTCGCCTTCACATCGTGCTGCTTCAGGCCGTTTATTGTAGGCCAGTCGATCTCTGGAAGGTTGTTCAAGAGATAGTCAGTGCTTCCTCCAAATCTGCGCTATGTCTGCAGTCTGTGTGCAGGTAGCGCCTAAACTACCATCGATCAGCGTCCTCAGCGGCTCCAACCTCGGTCCATACACCGCCTTCAAGGAGTCAAAGAATTCCTTGTGTTTGTAACGTTCGGCGTAGCATTCCATCTGCTTCGCCTTCTTCGTTCACCATGCATTTTTAATGCGACGGACGTCGCGAGTCAGTCACTATCGAAGTTTGCCAAACTGACTCTTCTTCCTCAAGTCACTGGGGTCCGCCACATGTGCAGCAAATGCTGCATGCTTCCCACACACAACAATGCGCCAATCGTCGCGTCGTTCTCATCAAACCAAGCAGGCCGCTAGCATTTTGCGCGATTGTCTCCACGACAGCAGCTGTCATCTGGTCGCGAATGTGGTGCCACTTTGCCTATGCATTCACATTACACAGGCGTGCAGCCATCGCCTTCTCCAGCTCAATACGTTTTCCCACAGAACCGATGGAGGGGACGTTAAATTTACGCCGATTCACGGCGGCAGTGCCATACATAGACTTACGAAAATATATGTGCAGTTTGGTCCTCACCGATTTGTGATCAATGCCACAATCAGCTCCACGCAGTGCACCTGTCATGCGCAGTCTCCGCATATATCGCTGACGCACGATGACATAGTCGAGCAGGTGAGCTTGACCACTCCATGAGTGCTTCCAATTTGCTATATCACTGGACCTCCGTGCAAACCGAGTGTTCGTGATCTTCCGGTCGTAAATGGTACAAAGCGAGAGCAGCCTGTCACTGTTCGTATTCGTTGAACCAATGCCATGCGGATCGATGACATCTGC